ACACTTTGGATACTATAATTCTTGTAGATATCCTACTTTTTGTGTGTGTAAGTAACATATTAGGCGAGGCATTTTGCAACTTATCTCTCTCTCGAAGCAGGAGGTTGTGTATGGGACAAACTCCCACCCCCACGCATATTCCCCGACCCAGGAGATGGCTCAGACTGTCCCAGCTTCAGATCACTCTGGATACCCACCTCCCTACCAGGATCAGTATTCAGGGTACCCACCACCTCCCTATACGCCAGATGGAGCTGGATCACAGGGTTAGGATCTCTCTGCATTTAAGTTGACTTCTGATAGACTGTCTCTGAGAACAGCTCAGAAGTTTAGGTTAAATTTCAGATTTTTGGTTTTATTTTCTTGAGAGGAACTGTTTTATGTTAATAATCTGATTAATTTTTTTAATAGCATAAATTTTATACCAAATCCTGCTCTTTTGTGTGTTAAATTGTTTGTCTAAACTTCCTATTTTAAATAAATTTTAAGTTTGTAGATGATTTTTGTAGACAGTATAGTTGAAGTGATTTACTTGCTTGAATGTGATTTGAGAGTTCAAGGAAAGGGAAATGGTCTTTGCAGGCAGTACACCTAGTCGAAGTTCATCACAGCGACCACCTTCAAACAGGCCCCTACAGCCACCTCCTGCACCCCCGAGTGGCAACAATACACCTACACCACCAGGAGGTTCCCACAGTGGCACCCCAACACGCTTACGTGGCCCCTCACAGGGCAGAGAGTGTCTACCTCCTCCTCCTCCTCCACCAGGGCCACAGGTAGGGATCACAAATTTTTTATTCTTTCTTTCTACCATGAAAATTTATTCATTTTCATAGTACTCACTTATTGAATTGATTTCACTTGTAAAAGCAATTAGTATTAGTTACTGGAACGACCTTCCGTTACCTTGATTATTCTTGAGGTTTACCATCTGGAGTGGCATTACTTTTCTAATTGTAGCATTTACTAACAATTTCTGATAAACTTCCTTTTCCATCTTTAGCAGCAGGTCTCTCATCCTGGTCTGTCTAGAGGGCCATCCATGTCACCAGGACCCGGGCGACACGTTCAGCCCCATGAGCATGACCTCCCACCTCCACCACCCACTCCAGACAAGGCTGGTGATGCTGAGCCTCCACCTCCTTCTCCTCCACCTCCTCCTCCAATACCTGCTATCCAGGAAGGTGGGCCTCCACCACCCCCTCCACCTCCTCCACCTGTTCCGAATGGGAATGCTCCAGGAGCACCTCTTCCACCTCCAATGCCTAATGGTGTTATAAAACAAGTAAGAACTTTTGGGTTGTAGAAAAGAAATTTTATATATTAATGTCCCAGTATAAAAGCTATATACTATTGGCTATTAATATGAAACATACAAAAGAGATAAGAGATACAGATAGTGATAGTGATAGTGGTATTTGATAATGATAGAGACAGAGATGATATAGAGATACAGATTGAGATGCTATAAAGATAGAGAGTTAGAGATAGAAGAGTAGAGATAAAGATAGAAGTAGAGATAGAAGGAGAGAGAGAGATAGATATAGATGGGTATACATATAGATATTTGTATACAGATATATAAATATATAGATATATAGAAAGAAATTTACAGTATTTTTACATGTGTCTGTAATCTATAGAATTTAACTTTTAGATGTTTGAAGTGTTGTATGATTGAAGTTTTTCCTGTGGCAGATATTAGTTGCACTGACTTTATAACAAGAAATCTTAATATGTTTTGCATAATGCAAATCGTTATACTTTCCAGCAACCACAAACTGTCTTAGCTAAACCTAAGAAAGTGGAGAAGAAGGTGTTACCTCCAGTTGAAACAGATGGTCGAAGTGATCTGCTTAAGGCAATTAGAGAAGGTTAGTATATAAGAAAAAAAACTCAGGTTATTGAAGTCAAAATGTATATATAATAATTTCATTATTGTTATTTTATAAATACGTCATAGACCTTTCTAGAGTTATTATTTCCTGGGACTAAAGTTAAGGTTATGCAGAATGTTATTAATGTTTTTTGACCCAATGCCGCCGGGTGGTTTCTCGACTCAAAAGCCCCTCCGAGGATGTATTCATAGTGGCTTTTTGGAAGTAGTAGAAGAATTAATTTAAACCTGATGCCACTGGGGATGGTGTATAAGTATGTGCCGTGCCCACTGTGAATTTAGAAAAGATAAAAGAGATAGATTTTCCTGGTGTCATTAGGTTTAAAGAGTAATCAAACTTTATGTTAAGTTACGAGGCATCCAGAAATACTAATACATTTGTATTACAAAAGATTTCTAAACCTTAAGTGTTAACAAGAGAATGGTACTAAGGAAAGACACATGGCACATCTTCATTGCTACAGGGCATTGAAAGTTTAACTACAGTGACAATACCAGACATCTCTGGGCATCACTGATTCTGTTAGCTTCTGGCAACCATCCAGCCATTGGGCCGGGGAGTCTGCTATGCGTAACGGAACCTCTTGCTTGACCCGCTCTAGCATTTGTAATAGGGTCATCATGGAAGCCAAAAGAGATATGTTTGACTCTGTTAACTGAACAGTAATCACATACAAATATTCCTAATGTGCTAGCTTGCCATCTTCATAGATTCTGCTCTTCCTTTCTCATTTTGACTCTTCCTCTTGCATTGTTTTCTCTATTGTTGCCTCATTCTCCCCTTTCTTTTTTGTCTCATTGTTTCACATCTATACTGTGCATTATGTCTTTACAAAATCTTCCCACATGATCTATGAAATGTAAATACAGAATGTCATCCATGATAACTTACATGGCTATTTTTAGTCATTTTTTGGCTCAGTGATAATGTTTTCTTTCTTATTTCAGGCATCAAGCTACGGAAGGTTGATGACGTCAAGACAAAGCCAAAGGAAGATCCAGACAGTGTGGATGTTGCCTCAATCCTCCAGAGAAGATTTGCCTTTGAGGTCAGCGACAGTGAATCCTCCTCGGACAGTGAGTCGGACAGCGACGAATGGGATGAGACAAGCGCATAGTTCTGTGACAGGTCACTATCATCTCAATATCATTTATCATATGGCTATTGCCACTTATCTGTCACAGTGGAATTGCAAATTGAAAACGTCTTTAGTCAAAAGTGAGGAATGGCTTTTAAGTGTATTCCAGCAACAGTGAGACTCCTGTCACGCAGCTCTGGGTCATGAGCCCGTGGAAACGTTGCTGAAGCTGGGAATTTAGCTCAGATATGTGATGTGATGTGAGGCTTCTCCTTCTTTAAGGCCATATGCAAGTGATCTGTTCAGTACATAAATAGTTATTTTCATATTTCAAATATCATTATATACTATACTTATTTAAGTCATTATTATGTACTGAACTGTTGATACTTACTGAGACATGAATACACAAGGCTGTATTTTATGCTTTGAAGTTGAGGAGTTTGTCATCTGAATAGCTGGTAGCACAGACACTAGGAAATGTTCAGATGGAATAATTATCACTTCAGTTGTTCTTAATAGCAGTTGAAACTATATCAGGATACGAAATGTAACTCGCAAGCATCACACCACTTTTCCTAATTGGCTAAACTTTACTTTTTTCCCTTTTTTTGTAAGAGAAATAAATTTGTTGCCTAAAGTTAGTGTAATTATGATTAGCAAATACAAAATAGTTGCTGTAAACTTCCAACCATACTGGAAAATATTCAGGAAGTCACAGTATATTGTAAATGTTTTTTCTTTTACTTGTTTTTGTTATCCTTCTTTTTTTTAATAGAAGCTTGTAATATATTTCCATTTTATGTCAAGGCTTTATTCATGTGATACACTACCAGCCCATTTTCTGTCACTGCTATTGTGCTTTGTTGTGTAAATTTTCTGAGTTATATTAAGTTTAATTCCAAAGATGAAAACATTATTACTATATATATGTACATATATATTCATATTTTCATGGTAACTGCCACTTGTATTGGATATTTGGCCATCTACATTAAAATAAGTTAGTTCATTGTATCCCATGTAATGAGAAAAGTAGCTGTTTTATAACTGTATGAGAATTATGAATACTCATGATTAGGGTGCTTGGAGAAAGGAACACATTGGCCAAAGCAATATTGGGGTGCATCAGCTGTCATTTTGTTCAACAGACTTTTGTTATGGGCTGAGATTCATTAAAAGGTCTTTTAGGTTATGTTTCGGTTGCTTGTCAGTGTGGGAAGTAACGCACAATTTCTAGATTATGTAGGGTTCTTATATGTTTTTGATTTATGCTTTTTATATATTTTTTTTGTTATTATTTATAATTTACAATGTATTTACTGTTGTATAACTTTTCCCATATGTACCTTTCAATACGCACATATTTGTCTTCTCAGGTTTATGATTATAATTGATTTTGAGTTAAAATGAGTGATGATACGTATGGATATAACAGGATAAAAAGTTTTAATGATGATATAAAATCATAATTCTCTAAGATTATTTGAACAGATTCCTTCATTAAGCATATATGAAGTTGTAAGCTACCCACAAACAAGGTTACTCAGAACTCTCTTACCTTGATTTTATCAGAATAGGTAGATGAGACAGCCTTTACTCACAAATATATGTAATGCAAGTAATTCAGCCTCTAGATTGTCATTCTCTATGTATAAAGATGCTTTGATTTATATACGTCATTTAATATCTTACCTTTCTTGAAGTTGGGGAGTCAGTGGAATGACCATTAAGTTGGGGATGTGTGTCGTTCTGTGTAATAATATCTTTGTGGATGAAATTACAAAAAGTAACAAAAAGCTTGGTTAAATGTTATGAAGAGTTTCCTGCAAGGATGCACAATGAAATTGTATTTTTTATTATTGTTATGTTTAACGTGGGGTTTTAAGTTGAATATTCTCTCATTTATGTGCTTGGTTAGAATTGCCAACTGCAGTTTCCTCCATTCAGTTTTCAGGATTACTTGTCTGTGCTGATAGTTCTGGTCAATATTGTGTGTTGATGGTAGCAAAGCTTTTGATATGAATAACAAGAGTTACCTATGAAAGAAGTCATTGAGATCTTTGTATGCCTTTTATG